AATATCATATTCAATCCCGTGAATGAGACTGGAAGAATAAAGCATTGAGAGGAACAAATGTAATAAAAATCAGTCCAATAGATGTACAAGTTAATCTTCGAGAGTTGACCTTCAGGTGTGTGGCTCGTTGAAAAAGTGTTTTGTTGTGTCACCATACCCAAACCGGTTAAAGCCTAGAGGTAACTTCATGGAGAGGCGCATAAAGCCGATGATTCAGTGGGTGTCTTGTGGAAGTGCTTCAATGTGTACATAAGTCCAATTTATAACATACTCCATCAGGACATAAACCGAGAGGGGGAAAACCGATCAAATCAAAGCAAGACCATGGTTGTACTTGATCACAGCAGAACAGAGTTACACAAAACCAATCTGGGGGATACTCCGGGCTGATTAGTCGTTTTTTCCTCACGCCTTCGTTCGAAAAATGATGGTTCAGTTTAACGGGCAGCTTAGGCCACGTGATATAAAGCCGTTATGGAACGCCCAACAAAGCAGAGCACCTGTTGATTTTACCAACAAATTCAAATCGCGTCGCCCGTCCATTTGGCAGTGGATTTATCTCACTGTTGGCCAACGAGTGATTCAGCATACGGTGAAAGCTGATCTAAGCTGTTTTTCTGATGAATTTCTTTTTACTTGTCAAAAAAAGTAAAAATTCATCCCACCTGACGAGTTAGGACAGAAGTAAATATTGAGTGCCTTGTTATTGGTCTCCAGCACACACCAACCTGGATATCGCAAAATGTTTTTCACCGATAAGGAAGGTTTCCAGTAACTGCTACTCTTTAAATGCATTTGCGGAAGTCCTATTTTTCATGGATGAAGGTTGGTATATCTTCTCGCTTGGGTTTGGTAGTAAAAACGGTTCGACCAAATTGAATATTATTTTTTTACATTTATGCAGTCTCTGGAGGGATCAAGTTCAATGGCATATTCGTTCAAATACAACGCAGTAGCTGTGATTTTAATTTAATCTATTTTTTTTATCATAAACGGATAAGTCAGTTGTCTCGACATTGGTCGTCAATGGTTGCGGTGTATTAGAGGAAACTGGCAAATTGTGTTTGATAGTCAACTTGGCGGACTCCATGCTAAAGTGACTGCCTCCAGTGCTCAAAAATGAAGAAGTGCAAATTGAACATGAACAAGGTGAAAGTACAATACCTGTGAGAAGTCTATGGGTCATTTTAATTAATAAATTCTAGTTACGTTTTCTACGGTAACTTTGTTATTTCACAACTGATGCACCAGCAACCATCGTCAAAATCGCGAAATCGTACATTCTAACGGCATGCGGCTAATAGAAGCAAAGACATAAGTAGGTATTNTCGATGCGTGCCGACTAGGAATCTCTAATCATTTTTCGAAACGGAATTACTAACCTGTCTTCCGTCCAAATATACCTCAGTTGCAATGATACATTTTTTGTTGTGGACAAGAACTACGGAGAAACATGTTAATTCTCTCTTCATATGAATGCTCTGTTACCTAAATAGGAATAATAAAATTTTTACATGTTGTTGTTCGAAATTAAGGTTTGATGCGGACTGACTGAATCGCCTTTTTGAATCACTATGAATGCTACATTTGCTGGCTTTTTTGATGTGATAGCTGGCCAACTCACACAGGCGCGCACACACAAGACCGCTTTGTTTGACCACCTGTGATGTTCATCGTCTTTGCAACCTCTCCTATTGGCTCTGTTTGTTTGCTTAGATTATATCATCGACAAACGCAAAATGCTATTTACTGACCATTCATTCGTATACACTGTCGATTAAGTGCCGTTGTATGGTTGTTACCGAGCCTTGCTCTTGTTTAAACTGACATCTTCATCGTCCGGCACTCAAAAAGTGTATACTTCATCGAATTGTAAATAACTATCTGTCTAACTATGCCCATATCGTTGTCTTGTTTCAAGAGACGGGACTTAGTGAATGTTCTTGTCTACAGGCCAATTTGACATTTTTTTCTCACGAATCACAGTACCTCCCAATGCATCGCGACAATTTGTCTAAGCATAGTTATCGATATCGAACCACATCCATCTGACAGACTCGGATGTTCTGTCCTCATCCAATCACGGGTTCGGAGGCTACTCGCAACTCGAACCTAGTCGTGTGTCGGGTCTCTTGATGTCTCATTTTCTGAAATTGTCATTGATTGGTAAACACAAGCAAACATCATGAACTTTGTTTCTCGGTGTCATACAAGTTCGTGTGCATAAGAGCGTCCAATGGAGACACCTCTCTCTCCACAGACATTCGTGAACAAGTGTTGCGTTAACAGGGTCATAACACCCGGAACTCCAGGTCATCCGTTCCGCGTGGAAACTCGTGGTAATCGCATGTGCCTGCGCACGTTAAGGAATAGTGATCTATCGAATTAGTGTTTGCTCATGTGTTGTCGGTGTTTAAACACCGCTGTCTACGCAACATTGCACGAATCTGGTGGGCAACTGGACGAATAATGCTGAGATTAGGCGCAGAGTTTTGGGTATCCGCGGTCGCCCACTGGAGCAAGTGGTCGACCTCCATAAGTTACTTTGATTGGGGCATGTGTTACGCATGTCACCAGATAGGTTGCCACGGCGAGTGATGTTCGCCTAGGCAAGTAGTGGGTGCATGAAAGTCAAGGGTAGCCAAGCTAAGACCTGGCACGAGGGTATGAAAACTCTGACCAGGAGTCTGGATCACATAGGCCCCTGGAGACCTTGAGATGATCGTACCCGATGATTAGAGGCACTGGATGATATGGCTTGGTGTCGTAAACAGTTGCGTTTTTGCATCTTCTCCATTTTCCGTTCGACTCTACTTTCAACTTTCCTGTCTTCTATTATTCACCCAAATGGGAAGCCAAAAGACAGCAACCAAAACCGGCGCACGAAAGTGCATGGTTAATGGTTGTTCAAACTGAAACTGTGTTGTTATGTATTATTCCACGTCTAATGCAGTCCTGCTATCTAAGCCACCTTTACACGAGTAGTATGGTTTTCAACGTGTTCCAGATACCATCTCGTTAAATGACTGTTGTAACATTTAGTCAGTGTACTTTTTAGGTGTGCATTTTGGGAATTAATTGTACCATTTGCGTACATCACCGCAGTTCCGTCGATCTGTGTCATCCATAGTAAAAGTGATTCTCGGGCATTGGTTTATTGTCTACTGAAAAAATACTTGTCGAGTCCTATATGTGCGGGTACTCTTTCACTCTGACCACTACGATTTCTCCTTTTTTTAGAAAACAGTCTTTGTGGTAATGCCTCCTTTATTCCTACTTGAACTCAATCAATTGCAAATCAAAACCTCCTATAAACGTTAGATTAACGCTTACTATGTCCTGTCTATACGCAACCGGTGCATAGGAATCAAATACATCACCCGTAAATTAATATGGTATCCGGTGTGTGTTGTGTGTTTACCGTTTGCCGCTGCCTCCCAGACAGTGCTCGGTACAAACTGTGCGATAAAATCGGATCAGTCTGTGTACCAGTTTGTTCAAGCGCTTGTTACTAAACCTATATCAATTACCTATTTGCCTCCATATTGCGGTTGAATCTCTTCCGCCAGTGATTTCACATGTGATCGCCCTCAATCAAAAACACCTCGTTCCGCGAAGAAATGCTCTGTCCTGTTGTTGAACATTGACTGCGTACGAGTTGAACAAATACCATCACTGTTGGCTTTTTGATTGATCATGAATCATTCCCACATAAACTCCCTTCACATTGATCCGTTTTGTTTGCACTGTCGAGTTGTTCCACAGTGGTTATCCCTGAAACGGGCATTCACCGGTCATTATCCAACTACTTTTGTGCAAAAAATTGACCAAAAACCTTTGACTAGCATACTAGTGCTGCTGTTTTTTGCTTTCTTTACATTTGTTCGCATTCTTTCGAACTTGTAATGAATGCCAAACAAATCAATATCAGTTATCGTATGTACGGATCTTGTTTCTTCAAATCGCTTGTTTGAACACGATGGCTTGTTGTTGGTGAATGAAACGATGTGGGAGAAGTGAAACTTTGACTTTGTCATTTGTTTCCCTTTGTTTTTCCCCATTTTGTACTCATTGCTCCATCCCCACCTGTCGCTATCTGTTTCGTTCTCATTTTTGTCGATTATCCCAGTGGCAGTGATTCACTAATTTGGGAACACCACACGGCGAATCTTGTCAGTGTTCACCCGATCGATATTCGCACCATATAAAGTAAGAGCAGTGCTTCAAATAAATTGCTGGTCGATTGTGGGAAGTCACTCCGCATTCTGAGCGCCAAATAGACAGGCGTCGCAACTGCAAACAAACTGCGACCACGTGCACCCTTCCTTTGAAGGATAATCGAACGTAATGACAGTGTCACAGATATAGTAGGTTACCGAAGGTTATTCGTGATGTGATCTCTTCCCCCAGAACCATCTTCAGCTGTTATGAAACTTCACAGGTATTTCAAGCCCTTGACCACTTCGATCACAAAAGGTGAACCCGGATACAGGCTCCTGCCAGTCTTGTACAATCACCTTGTATTCGAATGATTTAACTCACGTACCGTGTCTAGATACCTCGATCGATAAGTGCTTGGGTGCGTGTTGGACTATCTGTGTGTTGTCACCTGACACGGTGATTTCATTGGTGTTGAAAAAATTATTTTTCCTGTATATTGTTAACTTCACTGTTCGCTCGATCGGACAAAGCATTCTGTAGAGCATTTTCTAAGGCAAATTAAAAATATAATAGAGACATTGAGTAGCCTTGGCGCACTCCAGTGGAAAAACAAAATCAGAAAGTTATCGTTTGCTCTTTCGGTAGATCATGTTTTTTAGCTGATAGTCAGCCTTCTTTCGAGTTGTATCTAATCACATATTTTCATTCATTCTTCTCCATTTCATAGGCGCTGATGGTCGCGGTTTGATTCAACCTTTCGCAGTAACTGCGGGTCCCTATCCGGTAGATGAAGGTGCTTCGGCAGCTGATCAAACACGACCTGTATATGTTTATCTGTTGGATACCGGCAATAGTCGTTTGCTGGTAATTGATTTGAGCACAGGCAAAGTGCATGCGACATTGTCCGGTGAGCCACTGGCTGGTCAAGCAGCAACTGGGGTCGCTTGGTCGCCCCAAGGATTGTGGATTGTCAACTGGAGAGCGAAACAAGTTTATCTCTTAGACCCACGCACAGATCAAGTAAGTTTTTTCACAACTTCGTTCATATTGTCCACAAATGCAACTGATCCCTGAATAATTAAACACGAGAGTACTATCAATGTTTACCACTTTTAATCAGCCCCTAATGAAAGTGGAATAAGGTGGATAGAGTCTGATATTCTTAATCGCGGTTAGTTGCAGTCGCACTAGTATGCAAATGGACTTGTTTTCAGATACCTACTCAGTCTCACTTCACTGATCGGCCATCAGGCCCAGTTACCTAAACTAGAATTCAATGTCCGCTTCCATACTTTATTGTACATTTTATCCTCCTTACTTTGTGTTTCTTACATAGTTCTTCGTTTGAACGAAGCTTCAAGTATATCCTCAAAACTACGTAAATCGCTCTGTTGAATTGCAATCAACCGTCTCATTTTTCTTTCGCACAACTCACCTGTGTATGAATCATATCACCCTAGTGTTGACTGAATTGCCCTAATTAGCTCTTCTTACTCTAATTTAAACTCCTAATGCATCGAATCCGACCAAACGCGCATGCGGAAACCAGTGCTGTGCCGTACGTTTCATAGGTCTACCCTGTTTACCTTGGTCCATGGTCGTTTTAGTGTATAGTTTTGACCACCACCATCGATCACTTTCCTTCAGCCAATCGGTTGTAGCATTGAGATCGGATGAATTCTGTGGTAAACACTAATAATATCCACGCAAATGAATGCAGCCATCTGCCTAGACTGTTTGGTTGTTGACCGCCTGACTCGGATAGATTCACTTTCTGATAAACGAATGAAAATTGGTTCTTCTAGCTCCGGTTGACTAAACTCGTTTTTCACTTGTTCGCTCAATAGGGCAAGTGGCTTGCAAACTTCTCATGCCCCGCCAAGTTGCCATGATTAGTGTTTGTGTACAGGGTACCATTCTGCTTTTGTCTGTTCACTTATAAGTTCTTTTCTGGTGATCTGATCTTGTTCGTGGAGGCTGCCTGGCTGCAATAGGATCGGTAGCATCACCAGTTGTCTTTTGGATCAGTGAAATCACCCACTGAACCCGGCAAAAACAGGCCAGGGAATTTCTCGAGGTTAGTCATTCATCAAACGTCTCAGTGTACATCCCGATACGACTGAATGCTCAATTATGTGACGTAACAGAAGTGAGAGAGGACATGTCGAATCCTAGAAACGGAATGACGGAGCACCCAAGGCGGCAGAATAACGCCCTCTTCCATCGTTCAACGGTGCAGTGGAATTAGAATAATGGGAATGTTGGATCTGATCACTCATAACTAATCTTTATATGACTGAACGATCAATCGCAGCGGATTGCCATATCCCAAACACGAAACGTGGTGGTGGCGAAGCTTGACAATCGGACAGAAATTGAAATTGTGTTTGGCTTCCCACCCTAAAGTTCAGAATTCAATTCCCAACAGCGAAAAATAGCTATGCAGTGCTCCTTTACGATCAAAACCGAATTCTGCGTGCAACATTTGATTTGTATATGTTGTTTCCCTTTTCTACGGATGCCTTTACTAGTTATCATACAGATTTTCTTTATCACTTAATCGTTATTTTAATAAATAATCGGATTATATTTTTCCCGTAGTGCAAAAAAATACTCGGCAGTTTTTTATGGGACTGTGTTCTTGAGTAGGTGAGAAATTCGGGGCTGCATTATGGGTTAGTTGATCAGTCACATTTTGTCTCTGGCTAAAGATTTCCATTCCCGATCGACAACAGTCATCTTCATTAATTTTAAACGATAGAATTTGCTGGCATCCCGATTTGTTCAATATGATGTTTCCGCTTCTCTCATGCGTGTTTTCCCTGTAACTCTCCAAACAGGTTGTACATTCCATCTACAGTTCACAGTTTATTGAACCAACTAGTGTATTTCGCTGTCCAACTACCGGTCAATTGTTTGTGGCCGACAACGGTGCCGGTTGCGTGTTCCAGTGCAACCCGATCACTGGACATACGACCCCGTTTGTTGGCGCAGGTGCTCCGCCCACACAACCCGTGGATTCAACGGGCGTGGGATCATCCGCTGGTCCGAGCGCATCCACATCCTCACCATCCCCATCCCAACAACAGTCCGGTGCGGACGATTCCGACGCGTCGGGTAGCAGTGGTAGTCTGGGTGCACCAGTTCCACCGACCTCGCCCGGATTTGGGGCTGCGTTAGAACCGCGTAGTTGGCGGCAGATCAGTGGTTTGTGTGTAACCGATACGGGTGAATTGATTCTGTCCACCGGATCTACCATTCGAGTAAGTTATTTAGTGATGCGTTGTGAGATTTGGGTTTCATATTTCTCTCCTGTGTTTGTACTGCACACTTTACCTAGCCTGTTTGTGCGCCTGTATGTTCGCACTAACTTCTGCTCATATAATCGTCTCATATCTTTTTGTTCAATATACGCGTAACAGAACGGTAGTCCGTGAGGTCAATTAAAATGCTGAAATATGTGCATTGTTTTCTATCAATAAATCCTAAATGAATCGGTGGTTCATGACGAGTATGATAGATAGCTTCGGTGTTCCAGGCCTCGATTTCAACCCCAACTGAGACAGTCTCATGTAATTCCTTCTGCAACTTTTTTATTTTTGTTGCGCATTCTCGCCCATCATCATCATTGCATGTAAGCTGAAAATGCTGTCCTTACTAGATGGATAAAGTACATTATCGACTTGTCGTAACGGTAATGGTCAGGTCTGGTATCGATACCACTCGTTGCCTAAAATTTGGTTAACCAATCGTTTCGTGTCTCCCGATGCGCTTTAACTATTTGTATTTTTGCTAATTTTATTCCCTAGATATTTTCTCGTAATGGGCAACAACTGAATTGTTTGTCCCCTCCAACTGCGCACACCAGTTCCACTTCTCCCCGTCCT